TTCTTTAAGTAATCGCTTACCTATTTAGTTCTAGTTTATAAACCAATGTTAGCTAAGTCTGGGGAGATTCTAGCAAAACTGTCACGCAACTCAAAATATATGACAATCAGGAACAATGCTGTGAAGGATTTTATCCTGAAATAGGCTGCAAATTACAATTGCTAAATTATTTGCCTTCTATGACTACGTGACTGGCTCTGTGAATGAGGGGAAAGCAGTGGACGTGTTATTCCTTGACTTTAGCAAAGCTTTTGACAGGGTCTCCCACAGTATTCTTGCCAGAAAGTTAAAGTAGTATGGGCTGGATGAATGGACTATAAGGTGGATAGAAAGCTGGCTAGATTGTCGGGCTCGATCGGTAGTGATCAATGGCTCCATGTCTAGTTGGCAGCCGGTATCAAGCAGAGTGCTCCAAGGGTTGGTCCTGGGGCCGGTTTTGTTCAGTATCTTCATTAATGATCTGGAGGATTGCACCCTCAGCAAGTTTGCAGATGACACTAAACTGGGAGGAGCATTAGATATGATGGAGGGTAGGGAGAGGATACAGAGGGACCTAGACAAATTAGAGGATTGGGTCAAAAGAAATCTGATGAGGTTCAACAAGGACAAGTGCAGAGTCCTGCACTTAGAACGGAAGAATCCCATGCACTGCTACAGACTAGGGACTGAATGGCTAGGCAGTAGATTCCAAAGAGGATGGATGCAGACTGTTCTCAGTGGTAGCAGAAGACAGAACGAGGAGTAATGGTCTCAAGTTGCAGTGGGAGAGGTTTAGGTTGGATGTTAGGAAAAACTTTTTCACAAAGATGGTGGTGAAGCACTGGAATGCGTTACCTAGGGAGGTGGTGGAATAGTCTTCCTCAGAGGTTTTTAAGGTCAGGCTTGACAAAGCCCTGGCTGGGATGATTTAGTTGGGGATTGGTCCTGCTTTAAGCAGGGATGTTGGACTAGATGACCTCCTGAGGTCCCTTCCAACCCTGATATTCTAGGATTCTACGATAAAGTGCATGCAGCCTCAGCCACTCATGGAAAACAGAATTGATGGGAGTGTGTGTATAAGAGAATAATTTTTAACAAGAGGTAAAATTTATTTTAGTTTCAATGGTACTACTGACATCTAATGGTAAAACATAGTAACTTTCAGCAAAGATGTTTAAGCTTTTTAAAAGGTATGACAGCATTTACAGTTTCATAACCTTTGTTTGTGACAAACATTACTCTTCCTTATTATTTTAACACTAGCTGAAAAATACTTTTGTTTTCTACCTGTCTTGAAGAATCACCAATTAAATTAGGTTTCAGAGTAGCAGCCGTGTTAGTCTGTATCTGCAAAAAGAAAAGGAGTACTTGTGGCACCTTAGAGACTAACAAGTTTATTAGAGCGTAAGCTTCTGTGAATAACAGCTCACTTCATCGGATGCATGCAGTGGAAAATACAGTGGGGAGATTTATATACACACAGAGAACATGAAACAGTGGGTCTTACCATACACACTGTAACAAGACTGATCAGGTAAGGTGAGCTATTACCAGCAGGAAAGCAGGGGGGAAAAAACCTTTTGTAGTGACAATCAAGGTGGGCCATTTCCAGCAGTTGACAAGAACGTCTGCGGAATGGTGGGTGGGGGAATAAACATGGGGAAATAGTTTGACTTTGGGTAATGACACATCCTCTCCCAGTCTTTATTCAAGCCTAAATTAATTGTATCCAGTTTGCAAATTCATTCCAATTCAGCAGTCTCTTGTTGGAGTCTGTTTTTGAAGTTTCTTTGTTGAAGAATTGCCACTTTTAGGTCTGTAATCGAGTGACCAAAGAGATTGAAGTGTTCTCTGACTGGTTTTTGAATGTTATAATTCTTGACGTCTGATTTGTGTCCATTGATGCTTTTACGTAGAGACTGTTCAGTTTGGCCAATGTACATGGCAGAGGGGTATTGCTGGCACATGATAGCATATATCACATTGGTAGATGTGCAGGTGAACGAGCCTCTGACAGTGTGTCTGATGTGATTAGGCCCTATGATGATGTCCTTTGAATAGATAGGTGGACACAGTTGGCAACGAGCTTTGTTGCAAGGATAGGTTCCTGGGTTAGTGTTTTTGTTGTGTGGTTGCTGGTGAGTATTTGCTTCAGGTTGGGGGGCTGTCTGTAAGCAAGGACTGGCCTGTCTCCCAAGATCTGTGAGAGTGATGGGTCATCCTTCAGGATAGGTTGTAGATCCTTGATGATGCGCTGGAGAGGTTTTAGTTGGGGGCTAAAGGTGACGGCTAGTGGCGTTCTGTTATTTTCTTTGTTGGGCCTGTCCTGTAGTAGGTAACTTCTGGGTACTCTTCTGGCTCTGTTAATCTATTTCTTCACTTCAGCAGGTGGGTATTGTAGTTGTAAGAATGCTTGATAGAGATCTTGTCAGTGTTTGTCTCTGTCTGAGGGGTTGGAGCAAATGTGGTTGTATCGTAGAGCTTGGCTATAGACAATGGATCGTGTGGTGTGGTCTGGATGAAAGCTGGAGGCATGTAGGTAAGTACAGAGGTCAGTAGGTTTCCAGAATAGGGTGCTGTTTATGTGACCATCGCTTATTAGCACTGTAATATCCAGGAAGTGGATCTCTTGTGTGGACTGGTCCAGGCTGAGGTTGATGGTGGGATGGAAATTGTTGAAATCATGGTGGAATTCCTCAAGGCCTTCTTTTCCATGGGTCCAGATGATGAAGATGTCATCAATGTAGCGCAAGCAGAGTAGGGGCATTAGGGGACGAGAGCTGAGGAAGCGTTGTTCCAAGTCAGCCATAAAAAAGTTGGCATACTGTGGGGTCATGTGGGTATCCATAATAGTGCCGCCGATTTGAAGGTATACATTGTCCCCAGATGTGAAATCGTTATGGGTGAGGACAAAGTCAAAGTTCAGCCACCAGGTTAACCGTGACATTACCGGGGATACTGTTCTTGACGGCTTGTAGTGCATCTTTGTGTGGAATGTTGGTGTAGAAGGCTTCTCCATCCATAGTGGCTATTCAGGGGACACCATCATAGGACCTAATCACATCAGCCACAATGTCAGAGGCTCGTTCACCTGCACATCTACCAATGTGATATATGCCATCATGTGCCAGCAATACCTCTCTGCCATGTACATTGGCCAAACTGGGCAGTCTCTACGTAAAAGCATCAATGGACACAAATCAGACGTCAAGAATTATAACATTCAAAAACCAGTCGGAGAACACTTCCATGTCTTTGGTCTCTCGATTACAGACCTAAAAGTGGTAATTCTTCAACAAAGAAATTTCAAAAACAGACTCCAACGAGAGACTGCTGAATTGGAATGAATTTGCAAACTGGATACAATTAATTTAGGCTTGAATAAAGACTGCGAGAGGATGTGTCATTACCCAAAGTAAAACTATTTCCTCATGTTTATTCCCCCCCCACCCCCCGTCCACCCACCCACTGTTCCTCAGATGTTCTTGTCAACTGCTGGAAATGGCCCACCTTGATTATCACTACAAAAGGCTTTTCCCCCCCTGCTTTCCTGCTGGTAATAGCTCACCTTACCTGATCACTCTTGTTACAGTGTGTATGGTAACACCCATTGTTTCATGTTCTCTGTGTATATAAATCTCCCCACTGTATTTTCCACTGCATGCATCCAATGAAGTGAGCTGTAACTCACGAAAGCTTATGCTCAAATAAATTTGTTAGTCTCTAAGATGCCACAAGTATTCCTTTTCTTTTTAATGAAATTAGATTGCTCTCTACATAAATTATTAATTCCTATAATTTTAGCACTGTGCATCTATCAAAACCAAATGAAAATTAATATTTTGCAAGTTAGCATTTTAAAATTTGATCTTCATTTCCCTAGAGGATACTCTTAAGATGTTCTGACATATTATCCTTCAAAACAAACAGAATTAGATAGTGACATCACACCAAGGCACCGGTGTTGGGAGGGCTGGGGGTAAATCAGTCGTACTCTGGAGATATAGTTCTTCATGTTGGTTTATTTACAATATTTACAGAGTAGACCCTGGGAATTTTTTTAAATGAAAAAACAAAAACAAATCCCCCCCCCCAACTTCCACTGGGATACTGCCTCGTCTTATGCTGGCCCCTCCCCAAACAGAAATACACACAAGATTTCCCTTATAGAGACAAACAGCTCTTTACCTAGAAGCCTTTTCCCCATGCTCTGCACAACCTTCCTACAACTTGATTCCTTTTCCTTCCCTCCTATCCTCTCTCTCTCACTGGAAGAGGTTTTGAAAGGTCACAGGCTGCCCTTAATTAGCCTCAGATGTCCATAATTAACCTGAGATAACCTCTTTCAGTTCACAGAAAACAGGGCTTTAGCTATTCTAAGACCGATATACATGCCCCGTTCCAGACCATCAGGTCTGACTTAGAAAGACAAGGTGGGTGAGGTAATATCTTTTATTGAACCAACTTCTGTTGGTGAGAGAGACAAGACACAGGTCTGACTTTGTCTTGATAGCCATGCTGAGTCTTAAAGTGAAATAAATGTGGAGGATTAAGATGTGAGGAATTTACATTCCTGTTCTGAGATTAAAAATATTAGGATAATAGTATACTGTATTGCGGAATGAAAACATGCAAGTTAGTTTTAGCAAATGTTTCTGTCTATTAGTGTGAAGTTAATATAGTCCTGTCCCTCCTCCCCCAATCACAGCCCCTTGTACGAGGTGTCAGGCAGCAGTACTTTTTCAATTTAAAAGACCTGCACTTGGGCTGATTATATAGAAATGCAACCCCAATGCTGAACTGAACACTGTACAGAATTTCACTCACACCCTTCTGTAGTTTGTTAGTAGTAACCTCTCTGCATTTTTCTTTAGTCAAGTAAGCTATGTCAATACTTTAAAAAATTATTTTAGGCTTTGCTAATCTTATTGTTTGGTATCCTTCACCAAGGCTAGTGTATGAGATTTGTAAATAGCTATGAACACATCTTTTGACTAGGCCAACTGTTTATCGGCCATTACCTGATTACTAGATGTTTGGTTTAGTCTTCACTTAGCTTCACGCTCCTGAGTTTCTGTTTGATGTAATGCTTCTGTCTGAACAGAGCCTCGATGAGATGTTTCTGTTTGTCCAGCAGGCTGGCCAGATGCTTCTGGCTGATCAAATGCATCTAACCTCTTGTTAACCACCTCACGAATCAGTGCTGAAATGACAAATGTAGTTACTATAGGGCAGAACAGAAATTTTTATGGATTAAAAAAATGCAATATTTAGAGATGATTTTATACATTATTATATTATTGATTGACTCACAGGGCAACAGTGAAATGTAATAGTAAATGCAGAAAATTTTACCTGAGATTGTGATATATGCTTAGCCAAATTAGTTCTAGTTACCTCAAGGTAATTATTTTAAAAGGTTCTGTTCAACTGTTTCATTATCCCCCTTCTCTTATCTCTGTTCCTTCATGACTGCTGGAGCAGGTCACAATGCCAGGAACCAGTGCTAGTGAGGGGACAGTAAATATTGAAGGCAAGGGATCCCTCCAAAGCAAGAAGAATCTAACATATATGTCTGGAGAGCAGTGCAGTTGAAGATCACTTTCACTGAAACAAAAGCAGCAGCAAAATAATACTGTTTATTCCCTTAAAGATCAATAAATATCACAAACTGTGGGATCCCACTTTAAAAAAAATTGAATAATAAATGTAACAAATGAAAATAACCCAAAAATTAACCATAAAAGGTTTTTATTTTTAAAATAATACATAAAATGGAACAATATAGAGGTGCCAATAACAGCTCCATAGTTATGACTGAGTTGAGTGTTGCACTTAAAGAAGATTCACCCTCTCTGTTATGTATCCTCCCCAAAACTGTAGCACTTACTCTGTGAGTACAGAATAAATTCTTTGAATTTAGAAGTAAATCCATTAATTAATTTCCAACTTAAAATTAATTTAAAAAATGAATCCCATGAGAAATGAAGCACTCTATTTGATCTTTTATTTTTGTCCCAAATGGTCTCAGCTCATGCATTATCTATCCGCACAAAAACCGGGAGACAGATGATTTTTAGTAGATCTGATGCAATGGGTAATTTTTGAAAACAACAGACCTTCTAAACACTGAAGGCAGGTGGAGAAAAAACTAGGGTGGTGCAACGGAATGTAGAGGGCAGGAGGGCAAAGTAACTGTTAACCGGTCAGCATGCTCCAGCTACTTTGCACTGCTGTAAGGTGGTGCAAAGCAGCTAGAACACATTTCGGGCCAGATCCACCAAATTTAAAAGCAAATTTAAAAAAAAAAATTAAGATGGATACTACATATCTTCCAGTCATTAGTATATCACATGGCAACATTCTCTTTGGGGTGCTTGTTGAGTGTTCATGGATGAACTTTTTAATAATAAAAAAAATTCCCCATTCAAAATTTCATTAGTAAAGGGATAAGTTTGAGAAATACATATCAGTAATTTAGGGTAAAATACATAAGAGGAAAGTTGTAACTATCAAAGAAATAAGGTCTATATCATAGACCAAAGAAACTCAGAATTCAACTAAATTTTAAAGAATCCAAAGTCAAGGTATAGAAATGCACAGTTAGGGTACTCAAACAACCTTCTTAAGTCTGACTTGCAGTGACACCATAAGGATGAAACATATGCAAAAAAGGATGAATGTGTGTTTAAAAATAATTTTAATCTAATCTGGGACCACACACTGAGATGCATTAATTATAACTGTATGATTATTGCCTGGTTTAAGATTGGTGCTTTAACTGCAACCTGTAAAGGTAGACATTTTAAAAAATACTGTTAAGCTCTGATGAGCCAATCAAGAATCAGAGACTGGTTCATTTATCTGATTAATTACTGTTTTAGTTCAGGGGAAAGTCCAGTATTATTGATTGCTAAGATGCCAAGCAGATGTCTCCATGAAAAATCTGATTGATTTACACTGTTCCAGACTGCCATATTGTTTATGTCTAAAATTAATAGTGGAAAGTTACTAGCCACATGACTTTTCAACCAATCATGACCAAGAATTTTTCTTCTGTTCTTATTCTTTCATTTAGAATGACCACATTGCTACATGGTTGGGATAACTTATACATGTGAGGCCACCAGGCCTTGTGTTATGTACAGGAGGCCTTAAACAATGTATATGCTTTTCAATTTGAGGAACAAAAGAGCCTTCAGTTTGTTCAATGGAAAACTAAATACAATAAAAGCTTTGGTATCCAGCATGTTGGGAAAATGGGAGGTGCCAGTAAGTCAAAAATTTTGGTTAACTAAGAGGGAGGGAGTTTGGCTGCAGGAGTGGGCTCAGGGCTGGGGGTTGGGGTGTGGGAGAGGGTGCAGGGCATGGGCTCTGGGAGGGAGTTTGGGTGTGCAAGGGAGCTCGGGGTGGGGGTTGGGGCACAGGAGGGGTTTCAGGGTGCTGGATCTGTCGGCGCTCACCTTGGGCAGCTCTCCACAAGCGGCGACATGTCCCTCCTGCTCCTAGGCAGAGGGGCGGCCAGGTGGCTCCGCACGCTGCCTCCACCTGTAGGTTCCACCCCTGCAGCTGGTTCCTGGCCAATGGGAGATGTGGAGCCAGTGCTTGGGGCAGTGCACGGAGCCTCTGTGGCCATTCATCCACCTAAGAGCAGCAGGGACATGTAGCTACTTCTGGGGAGCCACACAGAGACAGGTAGGGAGCCTGCCAGCCCCACGCCAACTGGACATTTCTGATATCCATTAAAAGCCAGTTTCGAGAGCTTTCCAGTTGGTAACACAGCTTCTACTGTACAAGAACATAGTTTCATTGTCTGTGAAATAAATGAGGAATATAAACTATGTAAATGAAAAAAGAAAACAATTAATATTCATTAACCACTCCACTTCTCCTGAACATAACAGGAACCTCTCTGTCAGAGACATTCCACATATGTTTTGTACTACCAGTAGAGATGTGCTGCTGAAACACGCCTGGTATTTCTATTTTTTTCACTTGACCAATAATTACAAAACAACAATATAAAATGGGTCTGGGAATTGTCCAACAGTCAGGTGATTAAAAAAAAGAAAATGGTAAAATACATCCCCATTTGGACAATTGCAAATGCTGTTAAAATATCCTCTGCTTCTTTATTTCACGATAATCCTGCAGTTTTGACTGAAAAAAGTTAAGCAGGGTATATTACATTCCATGACTTTGTAACTTACTGTCAAGCATTGTCCTTCCCAGAATCTTCTTCTCCAATGTCTGATCTACTTCTGCCATCACCCATGGAAGAAATTCTTTCTCAACATCTGTAAGATTTGTGGAGAGAAAGCAAGACAAAGTATTTTTATTAATGATGTGTTATAACAGGAGTGGGCAAACTACGGCCTGGGGGCCACATCCAGCCCTTCAGACGTTTTAATCCGGCCCTCGAGCTCCAGCCAGGGTCCGGGGCTTGTCCTGCTCCATGTGTGCCATGGCTCCGCACAGCTCCCAGAAGCAGCAGCATGTCCCCACTCCGGCTCCTATGTGTAGGCAGTGGTGAGCTGGAGCCAGTTAGCAGTGGTGAGCTGGAACCAGCTGTTACATTTAGAAGCCCTTTTAGAACCTCAGGGTTTAGCTGATCGCCATATTTGGGGTCGGGAAGGAATTTTCCTCCAGGGCAGATTGGAAGAGGCCCTGGCGGTTTTTCGCCTTCCTCTGTAGCATGGGGCACGGGTCACTTGCTGGAGGATTCTCTGCTCCTTGAAGTCTTTAAACTAAGATTTGAGGACTTCAATAGCACAGATATAGGTGTGAGGTTTTCTGCAGGAGTGGTGGGTGAAATTCTGTGGCCTGCGTTGTGCAGGAGGTCAGACTAGATGATCATAATGGTCCCTTCTGACCTAAATATCTATGAAAAAAAAAAACCAGTTGTCCCACAGGACAACCGGTTCTAAAAGGGCTTCGAAATTTAACAACCAGCCAAAAGTGGTGCCAGGGCTGGAGCACCCACGGGAAAAATCTGGTGGGTGCAGAGCACCCACCGGCAGCTCCTCACTCCATGCCCGGCCCCAGCGCACTTCCGCTCCGCCTCCTCCCCTGAATGCGCCGCCCCGCTCTGCTTCTCCATCCCCCACTCCAGTTTCCCGCGAATCAGCTGTTTTGCGCGGGAAGCCGGGGTGGGGCTGAGAAGCAAGCGGCAGCTTCGCGCTCAGGCCCAAGGAGATGGAGGTGGAGAGGAGGTGAGCTGGGGCGGAGGGGCGCGAGGAGGGCTGCCTGCACCGCAGCAGGTAACCTGGTGGGCCCACAGGGGAACTGCTCCCCACCCCAGCTCACCTCCGCCTCCTTCTGCCTGAGCACGAAGCCACCGCCTGCTTCTCAGCCCTCCCGGCTTCCCGCGTGAACAGCTGATTTGTGGGAAGCGGGGGTGGGGTGGGTGGAGAAGCACAGGCGGAGCGGAGGTGAGCTGGGGCCAGGTGCGGAGCTGCCGATGGGTGCTCTGCACCCACCAAATTTTCCCGGTGGGGGCTCCAGCCCCAGAGCACCCACAGAGTTGGTGCCTAAGGTGTCACTTTTGATGTGATCAGTGGGGGGAGAGGCCACTCCCCCTGCTCCCCCCCTAGCTTCGCTACCCGGCCCCTAGGAGCCAGAGGGACCTGCCGGATGCTTTCTGGGAGCCGCCCCAGGTAAGCACCGCTGGGACTCCCCACCTCACCCCCCGGCAGATCCCTCTGTCTTTTAGGGGCGGGGCGGGGACCAGACAATCACTATGCTCTCGAATGAATTCCCTCAGAAAAATGATAAAAAAGACAAAAACACCATATCTCCTGTAGGTGAACACTTTTCACAAAGCAGTCACTCTATATTTGATTGTTCAATACTCCTTGTCAAAGGAAACCAGCATAGCCACCTTCAAAAGGCTAGCCTGGGAACTGAAATTCATAACTCAAAAACCATAGACTCAACAAGGACACTGGTTTTATGGCTCATTACAATAATCTGTAACACACCACACTGCCTGCTACCCTTAATTGCCCACTTCAAACCCCATCCTTATGCATAACAATCTAACCCTCAATTGCACACTTCATTTCAAATGACCATCTACAACATGTGTTACCCCTTATGCTTAACAATCTGTCCCACCTTGTATTTTGCTCAGACACTCTGATTTCCTTCCCCAGACTTGAAGAAGACCTCTGTGGAGCTCAAAAGCTTGTACCTTCTACCAACAGAAGTTGGTCCAATAATAGATATTACCTCATCTATCTTGTCTGTATTATATCCTGGGACCAGCATGGCTATAAGCAACACAGCAAACAAACTTTAACAGGGTTTTTAAATGATTCTCAAAAAATCTGAACTCTTTGAATGTCCCACTTTATCACACCTACAGCTCACGCCTATGTTTGTCTGTGTCCCCATTAACTTTCACTTTCCATTTAAATTAAGTTGCAAGTTTTTAATGCATTGAATTTAGCTCTTTTCAATAAAACATAATTATTAGCTATTGTTGTCACAAATAGGATCTAGTTGCATATGAATGACCAGCTATGTTAGTTTTAAAATTGACTTTTTAAAAACAATACCAAATATGCCCAGTCACAAATGTAAATAATTGAATGAAATGTAGTTTTATTGTTTACATCTGGATAACCAATACTAAATGATAGAAGGATTGTAAACTTCTTAAGTTATTGTGAATGTTATGGTTATTTTATGTTTTAGATTTAGGGCTGTCTATTAATCGCAGTTAACTCATGCGATTAACTCAAAAAATTAATTGTGATTAAATCGCAGTTTTAATCACATTGTCAAACAATAGAATACCAATTGAAATGATATATTTTGAATGTTTTTCTACATTTTCATATAGTATCCTGTGTTGTAATTGAAATCAAAGTGTATATTTTTATTACAACTATTTGCACTATAAAAATGATAAACAAAAGAAATAGTATTTTTCAATTCACCTCATACAAGTACTGTTGTGCAATCTCTTTGTTGTGACAGTTCAACTTACAAATGTAGATTTTTTTGTGTTACGTAACTGCACTCAAAAACAAAACAATGTAAAACTTCAGAGCCTACAAGTCCACTCAGTCCCACTTCTTGTTCAGCCAATCACTAAGACAAATACGTTTGTTTACATTTACGGGAGATAATGCTGCCCACTTCTTATTTACAATATCACCTGAAAGCGAGAACAGGCATTTGCATGATACTTCTGCAGCTGGCATTGCAAGTTATTTATGTGCCAGGTACGCTAAACATTTGTAGGCCCCTCATGCTTCGGCCACCATTCCAGAGGACATGCTTCCATGCTGACGACGCTCATTAAAAAAATAATGCGGTAATTAAATTTGTGACTGAACTCCTTGAGGGAGAATTGTATGTCCCCTGTTCTGCTTTACCCGCATTTTGCCATATATTTCATGTTATAGCAGTCTCGTATGATGACCAAGTACATGTTGTTCATTTTAAGAACACTTTCACTGCAGATTTGACAAAGTGCAAAGAAGGTACCAATGTGAGATTTCTAAAGATAGCTACAGCACTCGACTAAAGGTTTAAGAATCTGAAGTGCCTTCCAAAATCTGAGAGGGATGAGGTGTGGAGCATGCTTTCAGAAGTTTTAAAAGAGCAGCACTGCGATGCAGAAACTACAGAACCCAAACCACCAAAAAAGAAAATCAACCTCCTGCTGGTGGTATCTGACTCAGATAATGAAAACGAACATGCATCGGTCTGCACTGCTTTGGATTGTTATCAAGGAGAACCCAACATCAGCATGGACGCATGTCCTGCAGAATGGTGGTTGAGGCATGAAGGGACATATGAATCTATAGCACAACTGACACGAAAATATCTTACGATGCTGGCTACAACAGTGCTATGAGAACACCTATTCTCACTTTCAGGTGACACTGTGAACAAGTGGGCAGCATTATCTTCTGCAAACATAAACAAACTTGTTTGAGTGATTGGCTAAACAAGAAGTAAAACTGAGTGGATTTGCAGGCTGTAAAATTTTACATTGTTTTATTTTTGAATGTAGTTTTTTTGTACATAATTCTACGTAAGTTCAGCTTACATGCAAAAGAGATTGCACGACAGTACTTGTATTAGGTGACCTGAAAAATACTATTTCTTTTGTTTTTATACAGTACAAATACTTGTAATCAAAAATAAATATAAAGTGAGCACGGTACACTTTGTATTCTGTGTTGCAATTGAAATCAGTGTATTTGAAAATGTGGGAAACATCCAAATATTTAAATAAATAGTATTCTATTTTGTTTAACGATGCGATTAACCATATGATTAATCGCTATTAATGTTTTTAATTGCACGATTTATTGCGATTAATTTTTTTAATCGCTTGACAGCCCTAGTTAGATTACATGCTTCCTGTAAAGAAAAAAAAAATAGTACAAACCTCTTTCTACAGGATCATAGAAATATCCACTCTCACGAAGACTACTAAAGACTGAAGGAATGAGATCAGCCAGGTAACGCTGAGCAAATGCCCTTGCTGCAATTTTTTCTGAAGTCTCCTTATGCTTTTGAAGCAATTGTGACTGTTGATTTTTGCGACGTTCCTGTCAAAAGAACATTATATGTAAAATTTCCAGCCTTTTAGCTGTTAATTACAAAATCCAAAAAAGAGAATATTAATAAAATTTGAACTTTTAAAACACAAAACAGGCATATAAACTGGGGGAGGTCAATTGTTCCTTTGATAAGTACACATGACTCATATGGGGTCCACCTGTGTGTACACAGACCTTTCAGGTGGACAAAAATGTTTTTTAAAATGGACAAATTATATTCAAAACTGCTAATGCCTAAAACCACATTATTCACAGCCATTTCAGCAAAATGGTTCCCTTTGTTTACTTTTTTTATATTTGGTACATCTGTGATTTTGCATTTGCTGGCTTCATGCCCTTCTCTGGTACCTCAGCATGAACTGGGCTAATGACATGAAAATCCCTCTTGTTGATAAAGCAGGGAGTCTGCTTTTGGGGTGGGGAAAGGCAAATCTGGTTTTACTTAAAGATTTTCTAAAGTTTTCAGCGTTCTCATTTTCTGTTCTATTTAGTATAAAATAACAGTATTAAAAATACAAATAAAACTGCTGAATGTTAAACAAAAACAGTCACTATTGATCAGAGCTCCCCAAGGGAAGAACCACAGGCAAAGTCCAGGTGGACATGCTGGGTAAGCACAATCAATACACAGGGGTACTGTAGATGAGGACTTTGTCTATAAGTGGAAGAACTGTGGAATTCCACCCAAGAGACAGTAAGGGCATGAGAATTGACATCTTATGGGGTGCACTCAGGGAGACCAGAGAAGGAAAAAAAGATGCAGCTAGTCCGGCAACCATGACTATCGCTGCCACTTTGGGCTGTCTGAGGATCTCTGGCTCTTTTGCTTGCAGCTAGAGGATCTAAGCATTTTAAAAAAGATTAGGTCTAAAAAATTTTACTACGATATATATGGTGTAATTTTTGAAATATTGTCCTTTGTTTCCAAAAAATGCTTATTGCTGAGAAGTTAAACATTCTGATGACTGGGCACTTTAATATACCTCATTTGAAAGACCACGAAAGAAGTGTTTGCACACTCAGGATTTTGTGTATTAAGAAGTTGGATGTTTTCTTTTTCATTTTAGAGCACTGCAAGCATTCATTTAAGAGGTATTGCTGTGGAAACCTCCAGTTAACTGCTTGACTAATTATTTTATCAGATACATAAGGCAAAATGAAGTCAGGTTCTGTACTATGTATGAGGTACGTTTCTGTTAAGTGGTTACATTCCAGTTTGAATATCAGTACTTTACAGAAACCGCAACATTATGCTGATATATGGAAACTACTAAAAAAAGCAACAATAAAGGCATTAAATCGAGCTATTTTTATAATTGTCTAACCTGACATTGCCCCTTTAAGTTAATCAAATTTATTTTAGGTTTTGTCTTTGTCTTCCAGTGGTGTAAAGCCAAATGAATACAAGCTTGCAGAAGACCAAAGGTCAAGACACTGAGTCTTAGACACCGCTGGACTGCGCTATTGTATCGATACCTTTTCCTCTCTGTGTCGCCTCTCCTGCTCCTCAAGGCGTTGTACTTCAGTAAGCTCGGCATTGCGTAATTCCTCATATGCATACTGATGTGCCCGCAGATTGGCCAGCTCCTCTTCTTCCATGACTTCTAGCAAAGCTTGTTCAATGATTTTTCCAATCAAAACTTCTAGCATTGGTTTGACTTCAATGTCAAAGTCAAACAGCTGAGGATGAAAGCAAATTAAACAGAGATTTATGCATCCAGGTCCCAATCAATTTAAAGTCTTACCAAGGTGAACAGAAATGCTTACATCTGCAATAGCTGGCAAGGTTGCTGGTGTCTAACATAGGGCTGGGAAGACAGTTTTGTACAGTTGTAATGTTACCAACTGTGGCAAGGAATGTGTGAAACTCTGAACTCAGAATGGGGCAAAAAGAGAAGGAAAGGATAAGGTGCTATTTGGGAGATGGGAAGTACCAGATCATATGGAGGACTTAGGTTATTTCACAGGTTTAACAAAAGCATTCCTCCAGTCCTCACTAAGTGATGTGTATGATCCAGACTAAATACCAGTAAACATGAATACTGGTAGTTCTGTCATTCACTCCCCTCCTCTAATGGTAGTTCCTGCCACCTCAGCAGCTCAGCCTCTCTCTCTGTCTGAGACCCTTTTAGGCTCCCCTCTCTTTAAGAAAGCATCCATAGCAACATGCAATAGGTCTAAGTCTGTCTGGTGGGCCTAATTAACAGACCAGTTCAAAACACAGTCACTTTTGGGGCCCCCAGTCAGAGGCAGAAGGCTAGACTGGACCCAAACCATGCTCACATACACATCCCTAGTCCCCTCATGCTGCATTTTATTATTCAGACTATATTATCATGCAGAGAATTTCTGAATGTTTTAATTTTTACTGCAAATAAGTAAAACAATAGCATTCGGGGAGAGGCATTTTCCTTAACATTATCATTATCCTCACAGTAAAGTACATTAGACATTATAGGGAATTTTTAATCTCTCTACCAAGAGTAGGTCCTCCATGTTTCTGAATTGTTTCTCAACTGAGTTCAACTCTTCATTTTGTATCACAAACTTATTACATACATAAGAAATCTTGCTATGGTTGCAGACCAAAATTTGCATTTGTACCTCTCCTTCTTCTATCTGTGTGGCCACATCTCTCCCTGTTTTGGCTGGGATGAAGAGTGGAGTAGGTGGTCTGTCCAGAAAAGCATCTGTTTGACACTCCACATCAACCTCTATTATGCGGTCACCAAGCTCTTCCAGATACAACTCTATGAAGCAATAGTATGATGAATACTGTATGTAGGTTCTGTTTTGCACAAAAAGCCAAGGTGGCAAACTAATTGTTAACAGAGGTAAATTATCATATCAAAATAATGTACAATAAAATGATTACTACAAAGTTAAAGACTCAATGTAATATTTACACCCATTTTTCTGTGTAGGAACTACCATTATCATATTGTCCATAGTGTCTGATATATTTAATGGGATATGATTCATAAACTGATATTTCATTTGTCAGATTTCAGAAGTTGATGAGGTGATTTTGATAAAGTGTAGACTATCAGGTTTTAGCTCACTTTGTGAAATACTGTTCCAGGTGGAGTTAATTCTGATAAAGCAAGTTAAAAGAGAGGCCACAGATAGCTATCTACTAACAGCTATGTTTAAAATGTGTGTGTGTTTTAATTCTCCATGGTATGTTCATTCTGAGAGGCACTGGCTAAGTGGATGAGACTAGGTCTGCTGTATTGAGACCTGAGTTCTCCTTCTAGCTTTTCAGAAATAACCTTCAGATAAATGAGAATCTGAGCAGTTTCACATCTGTAAAATGTGTGTGTGGCAGGGAAGGGCGGAGATACAAGACCTTGCTCAGTAATAAGGGCTGGGAAGTGTACAAGGTTCTTAACACTATTCAGTGGATAAAGTAAGAGATTAGAACTAATAGTGTCACGGCTTTCAGATCAGGGCACTTTCCCGTGAGTCAAAAGGAATTTAAATGGGGGAAAAGCCATTTCTGCTGCAATTGGGAAACAGGAGGGCTCACTTGAGCCTGGGAGCATGTTCACTGCAGCTGGAAAATTCAGAAAATTAAGAAAAAGTGTCCTGTGAGCATGTGCAAATGGCATTTTTCCCAAAGTGTACAGCTAAGCCAAATCTGAACAGATTTTCAGAGGCAGCGAAAGGCACTGCACTGACCTGAAAGCTATTCTCTTGCCAAATTTTAAGTTCCTGCTCCAAACCACTGAGGACTAAAAAAAAATGTAGTTTTTCTTTATTTATATTCCTAACAGTAACCTTATTTTTGGAAATGGCTCCACCATTTTTACCCAAACTTTCAAAAAAAAAAAAATTCTCCCTGAGCCAGATACCAAACATGGAAAATGTCAGCCTGAATGGATAAATTTGTTAAAGTTGTAAACAATTGAAAACAGGATGTTATAATCGGAAGGGACAGACAATCTTAACTACAGATTTTACTATCAGCTCCTCCTACAATACTAGTAACAAAGTGAATTAAACTAAGTATGTTAATATCGATCAATGAAAAGTTTTTTGTTTTTAATATTAGATCAAGATTTTTTCAACATTTTACCTGTCTGCACATCAACATGCTTTCTCCCCTCTACAGGCTCTGGAGTTCTTGAGTGAAGCTGCTCTTTTGCTCGTTTTCTGGCAAGTGCTTTCCTGTGAGCCTCTCGCTGTCTCTGGATCTCAAGAGGGTCAGGCTGAGCAGTCTGAGGTTTGATACAAAAAGTTTCTTAGTTTTGCAGGGAAAAATTCCAGCACAAATTGTACAAAAAGTTACTACTAAATTTCTAAATAAGTGATTTTTAAAAATTTCTACAAATCAAATAATATAGATCAGCTGTAAGATATGGCCCCTGCAAAGACTTCCACAGCTTCTTAACTTTACGTACTGTGAGTAGTCCCATGGACTTCAGTGAATAAAATTAAACGGGTGTGTAAATCTTTGCAGGATAGGGGGCTAAGGAAGTAGTGTGCTAGCTACACTAAATTGCTATTTGGAAATATCCAATAGCTTAAAGTGTGGTTCTATTTTGAAAAATAAGCTGTGTAAAAATGGAATGAGTTTACTGACAGACCTGCTCTCTGAAATTTTTCAATCATGCCTGCCAGCTTACTTTACTGTCTAAAGCAAGTCTTTACTCTAGTTAGCGGAGCATAGCCTAGACAGCTATGAGGGTGAAAAGGATTCTGTTCTAGGTTGCATATTGTCAACAGAATTGTTTACTAACTTCTGATTTCCGAATCTTTATTGTTGGTGAAGGGTGAGCCAGAAGGTACCCATGATTTTTAGATTCAATATTGCATTTGCAGAATTGTCAGTTAGGAAATCATTTTTTAAACTTTATAAACAAAACAAATTTGATATGTAATCAGAAAGAGATAATAACCATGGAACCATTTTCACAAAGTCACTTTTGAGTACAGTGGTCCTTTAAATCCAAAAGTTGATCTACTCTTAAAAGTGATCTGTTGGAGAACATTCTCTGGAAAGGTTTCAGAGTAACAGCCGTGTGAGTCTGTATTCGCAAAAAGAAAAGGAGTACTTGTGGCACCTTAGAGACTAACCAATTTATTTGAGTATGAGTTTTCGTGAGCTACAGCTCACTTCATCAGATGCATACCGTGGAAACTGCAGCAGACTTTATATATACACAGAGAATATGAAACAATACCTCCTCCCACCCCACTGTCCTGCTGGTAATAGCTTATCTAAAGTGATCATCAGGTGGGCCATTTCCAGCACAAATCCAGGTTTTCTCACCCTCCACCCCCCCACACAAATTCACTCTCCTGCTGGTGCTAGCCCATCCAAAGTGACAACTCTTTACATAATCAAGTCGGGCTATTTCCTGCACAAATCCAGGTTCTCTCACATCCCCCCACCCCCAAATACACACAAACTCACTCTCCTGCTGGTAATAGCTCATCTAAACTGACCACTCTCCAAGTTTAAATCCAAGTTAAACCAGAACATCGGGGGGGGGGGGGGAGGAAAAAACAAGAGGAAACAGGCTACTTAGCCACTCCCAGTCTCTATTTAAGCCTAAATTAATAGTATCCAATTTGCAAATGAATTCCAATTCAGCAGTTTCTCGCTGGAGTCTGGATTTGAAGTTTTTTTGTTTTAAGATAGCGACCTTCATGTCTGTGATTGCGTGACCAGAGAGATTGAAGTGTTCTCCGACTGGTTTATGAATGTTATAATTCTTGACATCTGATTTGTGTCCATTTATTCTTTTACGTAGAGACTGTCCAGTTTGACCAATGTACATGGCAGAGGGGCATTGGTGGCACATGATGGCATATATCACATTGGTGGATGTGCAGGTGAATGAGCCTCTGATAGTGTGGCTGAAACTAAATATCTCTAAAATATTAATCAGAAATATCACAAGACCTTGAATGCCTCTGCTTCAAATAGGCATTGCTTGTGAACACTAAGCCCTGTAGGCATGCGACAATTCTCTATAAAGGGCTAGAACGTTTCCACCTAAACCAAATGGAACCAGATTGCTTGTACTTAAAATTAAAAAGGTCATAAAGCAGTTTTTAAACTAAGGGCTGGGGGAAAGCCGACAGGTGCGGAGGAACATGTGGCTCGGACAGAGACATCCCTTAGGGGAGGATCTATTAATGGAGATTCTCTATGTCCTAGTAAGGAGGAGAGGATGGAAGATGATAAAATATGGGTAGGATCTAATGAGAAACAGTCAACTGAAAGAGAGACCCATTCAATCACATCACGTAATGGCAGACAGCTAAAAAGTGACAAGTTTTTAAAGTGCTTATATACAAATGCTAGAAATGGGCGAATTAGAGTGCCTCATATTAAATGAGGATATTGATTTAATAGGCATCACAGAAACTTGGTGGAATGAGGATAATCAATGGGACACAATAATATCAGGGTACAAAATATATCAGAAGGACAGAACAGGTCATGCTGGTGGGGGAGTTGCACTATATGTGAAAGAAAGCATAGAATCAAATGAAGTAAAAATCTTAAATGAACCAAACTGTACCATAGAATTTCTAGGGATAGTAATTCCGTGCTTGAATAATAAGAATAGAGCAGTAGGGATACACTACTGACCACCTGACCAGGATAGTGGTAGTGATGCGAAATGCTCAGAGAGATTAGAGAGGCTATAAAAATAAAAAACTCAATAATAATGGGGGATTTCAACTATCCCCATATTGACTGGGTACATGTCAAATCAGGATGGGATGCAGAGATAAAGTTTCTTGACACCTTAAATGACTGCTTCTTGGAGCAGCTAGTCCCGGAATCCACACGAGTAGAGGCAATTCTTGATTTAGTCCTAAGTGGAGCACAGGATCTGGTCCAACATGTGAATATAGCTGGATCACTTGGTAATAGTGCCCATAATATAATTAAATGTAACATCCCTGTGGCAGGAAAAACACAATAGCAGCCCAACATGGTAGCATTTAATTTCAGAAAGGGGGACTACACAAAAATGAGGAAGTTAGTTAAACGGAAATTAAAAGATACAGTGCCAAAAGTGAAATCCCTGCAAGCTGTATGGAAACTTTTTAAAGACACCATAATAGAGGCTCAACTTAAATGTATACCCAAATTAAAAAACATAGTAAGAGAACCAAAAAAGTGCCACCATGGCTACACAACAAAGTAAAAGAAGCAGTGAGGGGCAAAGAGGCATAATTTAAAAAGTGGAAGTTAAATCCTAGTGAGGAAAATAGAAAGAAGCATAAACTCTGGTAAGTGAAGTGTAAAAATATAATTAGTAAGGCCAAAAAAGAATTTGAAGAACAGCTAGACAAAGACTCAAAAAGTAATCGCAAAAAATAAATAAATTTTTTTTTAAGTACATCAGAAGCAGGAAGCCTGCAAAACAACCAGTGGGGCCACTAGACGATCAAGATGCTAAAGGAGCACTCAAGAACGATAAGGCCGTTGTGGAGAAACTAAATGAATTCTTTGCATCAGTCTTCATGACTGAAGGTGTGAGGGAGATTCCCAAACCTGAGCCACTCTTTTTAGGTGACAAATCTGAGGAACTGTCCCAAAGTGGTCATTTTAACATGTTGATAGTGTCACTGTTTATCCCGATTTCTATGGTAATGGCACCACTTCACAGCTCCACATCATATCTCATCTTAACATTGACATAAGCTTTCAAATGATGTATGATGTGCGTGTATGTAGAGAGGATGTACTAAGTGTCTGCTGCTCACTTACTGGAATAATCCTGCATCTACAGGATAAGTGAGCACAAGTTAACTTAGAAACAAATATTCCCAGAGTGGTGCTAATATCACTGAGATGCTGATGAACAAACCAGGAAGTAAATAAAGTTGTGCTGGCTTATACTCAATAGCATATACAGAAAAAGGAAATGAAAAAGGAGAAAACTTCTTAGTCTAAAGTTTTCCCAACACTGTTAAAAAAAAATCTGAAGAGTGGAAGTTCACGTGAAAATATATTACAGCATTCCTAGAAACTAAAACTGAAAAAACCCACATATTAATCCAAGTGGAGAATCCATGATTGTGCTTTATGTAAAATTAAAGTACAAATGGGTAAAAAATATTATTCTATAATAGTTCTATTAACTCTTAGTTTTTCACAAAGTTATAATAAGATTTATGTAAACAGAACCTACCCAAGGTAATGCATGAAGTGCATAAGTGTTTCCTCGTACCACTCTCCTATCATACATGAGGTTCGCATAGCGAACAGGTTCTTCCTCTCTGTAGTACATCACAGCATAAAGAAACAAAATCAACAGAGCTGGTTATGGATAGTGTCACATTGTTTTCCCCATCGGACCGTATGAACTGGAACCATAAACCCACTGAACATTAAATCCCACCAAATGAGGGTAGACCCACCCCCACCATTGTATCCACTCACTATACTCCGCATACTGAACATAGCCGTTGTGTGGATAACTTACCCCATATCTCAATGTCTGTACGCTGACCAGTTAAACTTTTACCCCTAGTCGGGGAGATTGCAGATTATTATGTAATCCTTACTCCACCAGCTCCTAAATCGAATTTTACACCCCTTGATAATCTGTACCTTATCCCCTGACAACCAGAAACTTCTATGCTTGAACTCTGTACTGTTTCTTATTTCAACATTATCTTAATAAAATTATTATCTCTGATGAGTGAGACCCAGCTGGGTGTCAATAAAGGCCTAAAGAACAAACCACACCAACAACAGGGATGCTACTTAAAGAAATTAGCCCCTGTATCCCCCTTCTTGTACATGCCCATCTCAGCTATTCACTAGGCAGGCGGCCTCTCACACTGCAGAGCTGATGCACCCCTAGTCCCACGGTCCTGGCACCTCCCCAGGCCAGGCTTAGTGACAGGATGTGCCTTGGGCAGGCAGGGGTTGTCAGGAGGTGCTGGGGGACTGGACAGGGGCACTGAGAGACAGGATGGGACAGGCTGAGGGGACCAGGGGTGCTGGGGCAGGGGACACTGTGGGACAGAACAGGGGGCAGGGGGATGCTGGAGGATGGGGCAGGGGGGTGGGCAGGGGGGCGCTGGGGGATGGGATGGGGGCATTGGGGGACAGGATGAAGGGGCCGGGGGTGCTGAGCCAGGGGCCGCTGGGGGATGGGACGGGGACAGGGGGTGCTTCGGGGCATAGGGCGGGACCGGGGGACGGGAGGCAGGGGGCCCTGGGGGAGGAGGAGCTGGGGGATGGGACGGGACGAGGGGCAGGGGGCGCGAGGGGACGGGATGGGGCGGGACGAGGGGGGGCTGGGGGCTGGGTCGGGAGGAGCAGCATGGACGGGATGGGGGGGACGAGGGGCGGGGGGGGGGACGGGGCTCCCGGGGGCGCGGTCGGAGCCGGGCTGGCCAGTGCGGGCTGTAGCGGGGCTGCGGGCCGGACTCACTGTTCGCTGTGTCCCGGGGCGCCCCGGTATCTCCGCCGGGCGGGCAGGGTCCGGGGGCGGCTGCAGTAGCTGTAGGTGCCGCTGGCTGCTGCCGCCACCGCCTCCTGGGTGCGCGCGGGGAGCATGGAGGCCGTGGCCATGGCCGCTGCCGGGGCGCGGGGCTCAGCCCAGCCGCCTCAGGGCCCCCGGAACAATCCGCGCTCTGTTGTTGCCCAGCGACGCGGCGTTCGCTCCTTGACAACGGTCTCCAGGATAAACTGCGACTCGGCCGGAACGGGGCACTTCCGGTTCGGGAGGCAAGCCCAGCGTGGCGCACATGCGCACTCCGCCCGTCACGCTGCACGGGGCAGCTGATGGGGGCGGGTGGGTCGCGTGTCCCTGATCTTTCAACTGCCCGCGCGCAGCTCTGTCTGTCCGGCTCCTTACACGTGGGGCACGCGGGCGGGTGTGCGAGGGAGAGAGATGCAGCCTGTCCCCATGATACAAAGATTATGAGTCAGGGCCTTTAAAAATCACAAAATAGGCTCAAATATTAGATTTAACAAATAATAAATTGTTGGTGCTTTTCCTAAATATGCTGATTTCCCCCCCATCTTTAGGGGTTTCAAGCTTTTCTCAGGACGGCTAGAAACATACATAAAAAAATAAAAGCTGAGGCTCATATAAACACCTAAATCCAGGAGCTGGGCATTAAGAAAAATATTTGTCTGATTCTCCAGTGTCTACTCCTCTCTCTGCACCTCAGGCTAATGATCCTGTCTGTGCTTCATCACTTACACAGAAACCCATTTGGTATGAGGAAGGCCTTCTTGGGTTGCCACAAAAACATGTTTTCTTGGAGCTAGTAGAAGTAGGTTCGTCCTTGTCAAGGTTCCTTCCCCACTCTGAACTCTAGGGTACAGATGTGGGGACCTGCATGAAAACCTCCTAAGCTTACTTTTACCAGCTTAGGTTAAAACTTCCCCAAGGTACAAACTATTTTACCCTTTGCCCTTGGACTTCGACTGCCACCACCAAACATTTATTTGGATTTATTTTTATTAGGAAAGCGTCGTTTGGAAACATCTTTCCCCCCCAAAAATCCTCCCAACCCTTGCACCCCACTTCCTGGGGAAGGTTTGATAAAAATCCTCACCAATTTGCATAGGTGACCACAGACCCAAACCCTTGGAACTTAAGAACAATGAAAAAGCATTCAGTTTTCTTACAAGAAGACTTTTAATAGAAGTAAAAAAGAATCACCCCTGTAAAATCAGGATGGTAAATACCTTACAGGGTAATTAGATTCAAAACACAGAGAATCCCTCTAGGTAAAACCTTAAGTTACAAAAAAGACACACAGACAGGAATATTGATTCTATTCAGCACAGCTATTTTCTCAGCCATTTAAAGAAATCATAATCTAACACATACCTAGCTAGATTACTTACTAAGTTCTAAGACTCCATTCCTGTTCTGTCCCCGGCAAAAGCATCACACAGACAGACCCAGACCCTTTGTTTTTCTCCCTCCTCCCAGCTTTTGAAAGTATCTTGTCTCCTCATTGGTCATTTTGGTCAGGTGCCAGTGAGGTTACCTTTAGCTTCTTAACCCTTTACAGGTGAAAGGATTTTTCCTCTGGCCAGGAGGGATTTTAAAGGTGATTACCCTTCCCTTTATATTTATGACACGCCCCCCCAAATCACAGCTAGGGTGAAACGCTGGCTGGGATTTCTTCCTGGAGCACTAGGAAAAACAGAGTTAATAAGACACATGCACCTCTAAATATACCACCAAGTACATAAAGATTAACAATATTTTCCACATCTCAAGGACGATTTTAACCAGTTGATTCTGGTAAACTTTCATGGGAGAGTGCATCAGTCACTTTGTTAGAAGCTCCTGAGATGTGTTGGATGTCGAAATCAAAATCTTGGAGAGCTAAACTCCACCAAATAAGTTTTTTGTTATTTCCCGTGGCAGTATGAAGCCACCGTAGCGCAGCATGGTCGGTTTGCAGGTGGAAACGCCGTCCCCAAACATATGGGCGTAGCTTTTTCAGAGCGTAGACAATGCCGTAACATTCTTTTTCACTGACTGGCCAGTTGCTTTCCCTCTCAGACAGTTTTTTGCTGAGAAACACTACAGGGTGGAATTCTTGATCCGGTCCTTTCTGCATTAAAACTCCTCCCACACCACGCTCGGACGCATCTGTGGTTACTAGGAACGGTTTGTCAAAGTCTGGGGCCCTTAGTACAGGGTCAGACATGAGTGTTTCTTTAAGCTGGTTAAAGGCCTTCTGACACTCTTTGGTCCACTGAACGGCATTTGGCGTTTCTTTTGGTTAGGTCTGTCAGTGGGGCGGCGATTTGGCTGTACTGCGGTACAAATCGCCTGTAATAACCGGCCACGCCTAAGAAGGATTGAACCTGTTTCTTTGACCTTGGGACAGGCCACTTTTGGATAGCATCCACTTTGGCCTGTAGGCGGTTGATAGTTCCTTGACCCACCTGGTGTCCAAGGTAAGTCACTCTGTTTAGGCCTATTTGACACTTCTTAGCCTTAACAGTTAGTCCTGCCTCCCTTATGCGCACAAAGACTTTTTGTAGATGTTCCAGGTGTTCTGCCCAGGAATCCGAAAATATGGCCACATTGTCAAGGTAGGCAACTGCATATTCTCCTAATCCCGCTAGGAGACCATCTACAGGTCTTTGGAAGGTGGCAAGTGCATTTCGCAGCCTGAAAGGGAGTACATTAAATTCATACAGTCTGACATGTGTGGTGAAGGCTGACCTTTCCTTGGCGGATTCATCTAGCGGTACCTGCCAGTACCCCTTGGTTAAGTCCAAGGTAGAGATGAACTGGGCCTGTCCCAGTTTCTCTAATAGTTCATCTGTGAGTGCCATTGGACAGTTGTCTGGGCGAGTTACAGCATTTAGCTTATGGTAGTCCACGCAAAAACATATCTCCCCATCTGGTTTGGGAACTAGAACCACTGGAGATGCCCATGCACTGCCAGAGGGGCGGATTACACCCATCTGTAACATATCTTGGATCTCCCGTTCTATAGCAGTTTTAGTTTGAGGAGACACCCGGTAAGGTCGGACTTTAATTGGGTGAGCATGATCTGTGTCAATGGAGTGGTATGCCCGTTCAGTCAGTCTTGGGGTGGCTGAGAACGTCAGCGCAAAAGTCCTCTTTCTACAACAAACCTGGATCGATTAGAAGAGCTGAGTGGTGGTGGGTTGCTCCGTGCCACCGTCCAAGCTCTCTGGAGGCTTTCATCTGCTTTCTTTTCGGTCTGGAACTGTTCCCTTGATGCTGGAGACATCAGTTCCTCATTGGATTGTGGACCTATGCTTGGTCCCTCTGGACGCGATGTAGGGGATGGGGCTGTTTCCGTTAACTGTGAACCGCTCTCTGCTGGGACACTATGTTGGGGTTTAGGCTCCGGCTGAGCCTCTTGTGTAGGATTATGGGCTGCTGTCAGTTCAGGTTCGGTGGCGCCCTCTGGTGTTGGGGTTGCAAGTACTGGATTCCGTGCCGGCAATGGGTCTGGTGCTGGTTGTTCCGCCGGTTCCGGTCCTGGGACTGGTTCTGTCTGGGTCTCTGGGACTGGATCCACTACTGCTGTTGCAGACATTGGCCTGGGGTCCAGGTCCATCACCTCTGACCAGGTCCTGGTAGAAGTTTCCAGAACAGCGCTAGGCGTGACTGTTGGTTTAGTCTGGCTGCGGGTGACCATTCCCACCCTCTTGGCCCGCTTCACATGATTGGCCAAGTCTTCCCCCAACAGCATGGGGATGGGATAATCATCATAGACTGCAAAAGTCCACGTTCCTGACCAGCCCTTGTACTGGACAGGCAACTTGGTTGTCGGCAAATTGAAAGAGTTGGACTTGAAGGGTTGAATCGTCACTTGGATCTCTGGGTTGATTAAATTGGGGTCCACTAAGGAAGCATGGATAGCTGACACTTGTGCTCCGATGTCCCTCCACGTGGTGACCTTCTTCCCGCCCACACGCACAGTTTCCCTCCGCTCCAAGGGTATCTGGGAGGTATCTGGGCCTGCGGACCTCTGGTGTGATTCCAGTGCAATGAACTGTAATCTGTTGGGGTTCTTGGGGCAGTTGGCCTTTACATGCCCCAGCTCGTTACATTTAAAACATCGTCCAGCTGACGGGTCACTGGGGCGAGGTGGGTTGCTGGAGAATGGTGTGGTGGGACGATAAGGTGTCTGGAGGGTTCTTTGGAGGGTAGGTGGGGCCTTGGGCAGCCCCCGGTAATAGGGTGTGGTCTGGGTTGTCCCTTCTGGTCTCCGCTCCAACTGCGACCAGTTTTCTTCTTCTCTGCCACCTCCACCCATCTGGCTCCAATCTCTCCTGCCTCGATTACAGTTCTGGGCTTCCCATCTAGGATGTATCTTTCTATTTCCTCAGGAGCACCCTCTAAGAATTGTTCCATTTGCATTAGGAAGGGCAAATCTATTGGAGATTCAACACTTGCTCCTGATATCCAGGCATCCCAATGTTTCACAACGTGGTAGACATGTCGGGTAAATGACATGTCTGGTTTCCACCTTAGGGTTCTGAACCTCCGACGAGAATGCTCGGGTGTTAGCCCCATTCTGACTCTCGCCTTGGTTTTAAACAGTTCATACTTGTTCATGTGGTCCTTAGGCATTTCAGCCGCCACCTCAGCTAAGGGTCCACTGAGCTGTGGCCTCAGCTCTACCATGTATTGGTCTGTAGAGATGCCGTACCCAAGGCAGGCCCTTCCGAAGTTTTCTAAGAAGGCCTCAGTATCATCGACTGCCTTGTAGGTGGGGAACTTTCTGGGATGGGAAGTGGTACCTGGAGAAGGATTGCTACGGTTTGTTGGTATATTCTGCTGAGCCTTTACCTTCTCCATCTCCAAGTTATGCTTCCTCTCTTTTTCCTTCTCCTCCTCCACATGCTTCCTCTCTTTTTCCTTCTCCTCCAGTTCTTCGGCCCTTGCCTCCATTTCTTTGTCCCTTGCTTCCATAGCTCTCCTGTGAGCAGCCGCTTGGTGTTGTTCTGCCTCTTTCACTGCCTCCCTTACTTTGTCCTTTGCCTCCATTGCTCTCCTGTGAGCAGCTTCTGGGGCTTTTTCGGCTTGTTTCATTAACTACAATCAAAACAAGTTTTGTGCCAAAATCAAATATATTTTTTCTGTTATAGCAAAGCACAAAAATGTGCACAAAAGTGGAAGCTGGATAAGAGTCCCCTTGAAAAATTTGGTTCTGTAATACTGCATTTCTTCTGAGGAGTTATGGTGTCCTTGA